AGGAAAAATGATAGCATTTCTGACAATCAGTTTACCATCACTAATCTACAGTGCATTGTAAATGAGTTCAAAGCAAAGGAGTCAAAGATCAAGATGAGACAGGCCGATCTCGAAGAAGCCCTCAAACAGGAAAAGACAAGAAACTCTGAGCTGCACCATACTGTTGATCAGATCTCCTCCAGTTTGGACAAAGAAAGGACCAGGTGTGAGAAGCACCGCGACGAGCTTCAAGAAGCTTTGAAGAAGCAGATCACAACTCTGGAGGAAAACAACAAATTGACCTTGTCGCTGCAGAAGGCTCAGGAAACCTTCCCCAGGCTTCAGGAAAAACAACGTGCAGAGACAAACTACAAATTTGGAAACATCAGTGACACCGAGTTCAGGCTCAGGGAGCAGAAATATTCCCTGGATGAGAGCAATAAGGCGCTTTACCACCTGCAGCAGGAGTACACCAATCTGGGGAGGAGGCACTGCGACATCAACGCTGAGTATCGTGAGCTGCTCAGGACTCACACCGCCCTCCAACTCAGACATGAGAGGCTCAGCAATGTTCAAGGAAACCCACGCCCAGACTTCAGTCCATATCTCTTCCAGTCAAATTGTACAGCACACTAGAAAATGATCCTCCAAGGACATTTTGAGTGTGCGACTGGCACCGACGCAAATATGTTTTTTTGTTATAATTTTCACTATGTATTTTTTTTTAAATGTATTATCTTTTTTTATTTTCACAAAACATCTGTTGCACGTCTGTCCGCTATTGCTTTCCCCTAGGTTTTTCCCATTTTTCCACGCGGTAACTGTCAGGTTTCTTTGGAAATGTTTCCTTTTCCGATGTGAGGGTCTAAGGACAGAGGGTGTCTTTTTATGCTATTTATATTCTGTACGAACTGTAAAGTCCCCCGAGATAAATGTAAAATTAGTGATATTGGGCCATACAAATAAACGTTGATTGATTGATAACGTATGACAACAATCTCAACACATGGTCCTTTGAGTAGCTTTCGTGGTGATATTACTAATACCACATTATTGTTATTACATTGGTATTGTTGTTTCTTTGTAGGACACTAATTTAAATTATTCTTAAACTATAATTTTTTTTTTATAATAATCATAATAATAATAACTTTAATTTATATAGCGCCTTTCATCAACCCAAGGTTGCTTAACAAGAAACATAAGGACAAGACATAAAACAGGGGGCAGAAAGTGTTACATTGCAGGGGGGGGGGGGTAAGAGTGAGTTAATGTTCGAAGGCTTTGTTGAACAGATGAGTTTTCAGGGTTGATTTGAGGATGTTCAGAGATGGGGCGTTACAGATTTCAGCAGGGAGGGAGTTCCAGAGGGTGGGGGCAGCGACACTGAAGGCGCGGAGGCGTGAACGGGGAATGGAGAGCAGGCCGGAGTCTGAGGATTGAAGGGTGCGGGACGGGATATATGGGTAGAAGAGATCTGTGAGGTACTGAGGGGAGAGGGCATGGAGGGACTTGTAGGTGAGGAGCAGGAGTTTGTAGGTGATGCAGGACTTGACCAGGAGCCAGTGGAGGTTGAAGAGAGTGGGGGTGATGTGCTGCCAGGGCTTGGTGCGTGTGAGAACCCTGGCAGCTGAGTTCTGGATGTAGTGGAGCCTGTCCAGGGTTTTGCTGGGAAACACGGACAGGAGTCCGTTGCAGTAGTCCAGGCGGGAGGTAATGAAACAGTGAATGAGCTTCTCCGCAACAGAGTCGGAGAGTGATGGCCGGAGTCTGGATATGTTTCTGAGGTGGAAGAAGGCTGATTTTGATACTGACTTGATGTGGTTCTGAAATGAAAGGGTTGAATCCAATACAACGCCAAGGTTGCGGACCTGAGGGGATGGTGAGATGATGGAACCGTCGATGTTGAGGAGCAGATCTTCAACCTTCCCGAGCAGTGCCTTGGGGGCCACAACCATGAGCTCAGTTGTATTACTGTTAAGTTTGAGTAGGTTGGTGGTCATCCAGGTTTTAATTTCATGGAGGCAGTTAATTAGTGACTGAGGGGGGAGATGGGCAGAGGGTTTTGTGCTGATGTACAGTTGGGTGTCGTCAGCATAGGAGTGGAAACAGAGACCATGGCTGCGGATGATATCACCAATCGGAAGGAAGTGTATTGTAAATAGGGGACCGAGCACCGAGCCTTGGGGGACTCCATGATTGACGGAAGCACAGGGGGAGCTGCAGCCAGCGTGTGTGACAAACTGTGTCCGATCAGAGAGGTATGAGTGGAAGAAGGAGAGGGCGGAGTCAGTGAGGCCATGGAGTTCAGACAGGCGAGTAAGGAGGATGTTATGGAAGATGGTGTCAAAGGCTGCAGAGAAGTCTAGGAGAATTAGTGTAGTGATGAAACCTGAGTCAGCCGCGATGAGGAGGTCATTGGTGATTTTGATCAGGGTGGTCTCGTGCTGTGGAGGGTCCGGTAGGCAGATTAAAAGGGTTCATAGAGCTCATGGTTGGACATGTGATGGTGGAGTTGGTCGGCGACTGCTCTTTCCAAGATTTTACTAAGGAAGGGAAGGTTTGAGATCGGCCGGTAGTTATTGAGGTCAGTTGGGTCAAGTCCGGGTTTCTTGAGAATGGGGGTGACTGAGGCGGTTTTGAAGGATGTTGGGTAGATGGCAGTTAACAGGGAGGAGTTAATGATGTCCACAATGGTGGGCAGAACAGAGGGTAGGGTTGCCTTAACCAGGACAGTGGGCATTGGGTCCAGAGAGCAGGTGGAGGGCTTGGCCTTAGAGACCAGCTTAGCGACCTGGATAGCATCCACAGGGGAGAAGGCAGAGAGGTGGCAGTATGAGGAGCATGCAGCTGGAGCAGCGGTGCTTGGAGTATGAGCTGTGTGCGGAGCAGGGGGGGCAGGTGCGTTATTCACTTTGGCCTGGAAGAAATCCAGGAAGTCCGAGCAGAGGCCACGAACACCAGGAGGTTGTGGGGATGCAATGGGGCGGAGTAAATTATTTATGGTTGAAAACAGTTTTCTTTGTTGATATTGTTGGTCGTTGTTTATGGTTGAATAGTATTGAGCTCTATGCTGTGTATGTAATTTATTATATGTCATTTATTATATGTAGTCTTGTCTTTTATCTATGTAATGTCTTGTCTTTTATCTGTACCCTGAGTCTGTAATAAAGTGTTTTTTTGTTGATTGATTGATTGATTATATGTTTTATTTTCACGTTTGTCAATTTTCTTTAATCAATAAATGTTGAGTTATCAACCATTTACATTTCAAGAATTTGTGATGGATGTTTTTCTGAAAGTGGCATAGTGCAACAACATTTGCTGCCCAGTGTTCAAATAAAAAAGTAGCCTTCAGTGAGCAAATCTCTTCATTTCCAAGGAAAATATTTTACTTTTTACTCCACCACATTTACTTAAGCACTCACAGTTACTAGTTACTTTGCACATGTAAAAGACCTGATATGCTGATATGGTTTATTGCCGTGCTGCACCAGTAATCTACACAGTATTTGTAGTATCTACATTTGGTCCACGTTGTCAAACTACAATGCTTGAATGCTCTTACATTTATAAAAATGCGGGACGGCCCTCTACACTGTAATGTATGTATTACTAATACACAGTAGTGTTAGCATACATGCTAGCGTTAGCCATACTAGCCTGTATACATGCTTATTGCACAGCTAGCATTAGCTATATTTACCTTGTTTACACTTAGCGGTCCTATGTGTTAATCTGTGTATGTTACACTTGCATGTATGAGATCATTAAGTGCCTTATAATTTCTTTTTTTATAGTTTCACTCCGTTTCAATGTCAGTGAACTGCAAATAAGTCAATAAAGGAGCATGGCTGCTCATTCCCTGGCTCTCAAAAGAGTTTGGCTGGCTGTTTAATCTATGTTCACACTGAGACAGGACAACACATACTGTAGGTAGCAAAACAAGGAGATATGCTCACCTTAGCTGTTATTCTGATCAAAAGTCGTGTTCAATGGCATTAAAACGAGGCAAAACGCGGCTGAAGGTTAATCCATAGGTTAATCCAATGTGTCTGTCACTTTGAAAAAATTATTGATAATCCATAATTCCATTTTTATGCAAAAATCGGAGAATACAAATTAGCTGATGGTAGCCACCAGACTGTGTCGCAGCTCAGGTTTTGGCTACGCGTCACTCTCACTCCTTATTTGGTAACCTGTGTGTGTGTATGTGGAACTTTCCCTCGATTCTATTGGCTCTAGCGGTTAAAAAGAGATGTCAATCATCAAAATTGACCAAGGGGGGCCAGAGATAGGTACAATCCACCCAAATGACCCCAGAAGTGTTTTTTCTTTGCTAAACCTCTCTAAAAAGGTCAAATGTCACTTGTTTTGCATCAATCTTGATACAGGGTACTTATTATATGTTGTACTTTGGATTCCTAAAGCTTTTAGTCTACTAACCCATCATCCAAGGGTAGTTTTCACTATAAGTAAAAAAGAATATTTGGACGGACACTATAATTTACAGTTTTTTACTATGTTCAATCTGAATTTTCTTTAAAATAAAAAACATCTATATTGATTCTGACTTTTCTACATCCAACTCACAGGTTTATCATTACTTTGAGAAAAAAGATTATCAATTTTCCCCTTTTAGAAGTGTAGTTATGGTCATTTGTTCTGGAAATGTCATTTTCGAGCCTGAGACCTGAAAAACAGGCTTGGGGCCTAACAGGTTAGAAACTAGCAATTTACGTTATTATCCTTTTTTGTATAGTTTTTGTAACAAATGAAACACTATATTGTAATAATTTCCATAAACTGTTAGTGTTGTAGGAATGGAAATAAGCATTCTTGCACACCCAGTGTTTCTCATTAACTCTTAGGCCTGTCTGCCAAAAGTGTTTCTGAGTCGAAGTCAGCCCTTGGTCTCAGGATTGAATACCTACAGTATATTTCATCCTTTTTTGCTCAACCTTTCTCAATGTGTCACATGAGTTAAGAATGTAATGCCAATTCCTCCTATCTCTTTTCAGATCATGAAGGAATTGTGTCGAGCTCTTGGTAATGCAGCTGCTGATGACAGTAAATTATTACTGCTCAGCTCCGTGGGGACCGTCTTCTGCAGCGGCCTGGAGCCTTCGTACCTGATAGGCCGCCTGTCCACTGACCGCAGGAAAGAGAGCAGCCGCATCGCAGAGGCTGTCAGGTAAGAGTCAATATTTCTCCTATAACACTGACTTTTTCTAACTCTTGACAGAGTTTGTACTGATTGTTTTTTCTCCCCTTTAGGGAGTTTGTGTTGGCCTTCATCCACTTCAAGAAACCCATCGTGGCAGCAATAAATGGGCCTGCCCTGGGCTTAGGGGCCTCGATCCTGCCCCTGTGTGATGTGGTGTGGGCCAGTGAGAGAGCCTGGTTCCAAACTCCATGTGCCGCCCTTCACCTCACCCCCTCTGGATGCTCCTCTTACACCTTTCCCCAGATCCTGGGTGTAGCTCTGGTGGGTGCCAGCACTATCAAGGCTTTATTGCAAATACCACTTCAGCTAATTTGTTTCCTCTTATAACCAACTAATTTCCCTTTTTTTACGCAAACATTTTGGAATGCATTATATATTGAAAATCTCTGTATTTCCCCCTTGCTTTTCCTGATGGCAGGCCAACGAGATGCTGTTTTGTGGAAGAAAACTCACGGCACAAGAAGCATGCAGTCGAGGTCTGGTGTCGCAGGTCTTCTGGCCAACCACATTTAACCAAGAAGTGATGCTGCGTGTGAAGGAAATGGCATCGTGTAATGCAGTGGTAAGTCTTGATATAGACGACGCAGAGGGCAAAGCTTTTACTAGAATATAACCAAAACTTCCACTCCTTTTTTACGTGTGTTTTTAAGGTTTTAGAAGAATCCAAATGCCTGGTGAGGAGCATTATCATGTCAGTCCTGGAGGAGGTGAATGAGAAGGAGTGTCAGATGTTGAAGCAGCTCTGGTGTTCCACCAAAGGACTAGAGGCACTCTTCAGTTATCTGCAAAACAAGACGTATGAGAAATGAGCACCCACACCCAGAAAACTGATTGATGTGGATCAAAGGTTATCCATAGAGGGACATCCTTGATGAAAATGTGCAGTCTCAAACTAAAGGAAAAGTTGCATTAAGGGTCTTTGTTTCCATCCATCAGCAGAGGGGATTCTCTGGAGTTCTGTTTGCTCACATGTCTACCAACAACAACTTCCTGGTATTCTTCTATTGTGAATCTACTTCTGTTATATATTTATTGGACCCATAACTGTCCAGCTGTTTATTGTATAGAAATCAAAGAGCAAAGGGCCAAATGTGCATTGCCTAAGTAAAGTCTGAAGGAGGTTCTTCAGGAGGTACAGTGTTTCTGTACATATGTGTCTTTGAAATTGTCAGGATGTAAGAAATCAGTTAATGTCTGAGAGCACATAAATAGGTGATAATATATATGTTAAAAATATATTTATTGCAATTGTGTGAAAGAGTTGCTTTCTGAATATAAGGATTTTCTTTTTGTCGCTTATTGTTTTGAATTGAAATCAAGGTTTTCATGGGGATCCTTACGTGCACATTCCATCCTCTCTATTAAAGAGAAAAATGGCCGCAAATACTCATATGCTCATACAATCAGTGGATCACATTCAGTGCTTGAATCTTCATTAAACACTCTGGATAATTAAACATACTCTTTTTTTTATTACACTATTCATTGTTCATACTGTAGAAGTCTATTTATCTTCATTAAGTCTAGTCTATTACACAGAAAACAGCCAGTAAATGTGTTACAATAATCTCATTAAATTTGCTTCTGTCACATGAAACCAAGAGAAGTGCTTATGTAGTCATGAGGCTATAAATATCCTCATTTTATCAACATCCATCTGTCCTGAGTTATTTTATTATTTTATTCTATTTATTCAAATAAAATTCCATTGAGGTTAGGATTTCTTTGAAGGAACACTTGAATTAAATGCAAATAGACAACAATGGAAGCTTTATGTGAAGGCTAGCACTAAGTATACAAACATGTCTACCCTTAATCAGATGGCATCTTGAGTTGAGTACTAAATCACTTTATGTGATTAAATACATCGTTGGCACGTGTCTCATGATAAACTACCAGGATTAGTGGTGGATTTTATCCCATTTAGTTTAAGCTACATTTAGTAGCCGTGTTCAGTACTGTGTTGGCTAGTACGTATAACAAGGCTTCCAGTTAACAATGCAGATATTATCGTTTAAAATGTGTGATCATTATGTTGATATGAGCTGACAGTTTTTTTTGTTGCTTGGATGTTTAGAGCACACAAAAAAGATGATAAGTGTTTGGTCCTCATGGTAATCACATTGTGACTACACTAATTGTCAGTGATCGATATTGTGGAAATGCAACAGTCGTATAGTTGGAGTCTACTTTGTCCTCATCTGCATGTGAGGAGTAAAGATAAAGTACATTTTCAATTAATGTACATTATATGTAGGGATCTATTTTGTTTTACCAAAAGAATGTAGGTTTGTGAAAATTGTTTTGTAAAAAAAAGAAGATATTTGTCCCTGTTATGCAGTATAGAATAATATATAATGTAGACTGCTTTGTGTGACTAATGGCATGTAATATGCTGTACATATCATGTGTTGCCTGTCTGAATACCTTGTATGTCGGGGTATATTTTGTATAAATATTGTAAGTATTGTTAGAAATGGTGTAGTTTATTTTTCTATTTATTTCAAATAACTGTTTGGATGTGCAGTGCCATTTTGTTTCGTTTCACCAGAAGCCCCCTTTAATCATCCTTTCTAAATCATCCCATAAATAACTGAACAAAATGGGTTAAATAATGTATATTTCAAAACTAAAAAGGTGTAAATGTATCCTTTCAGTTGACATTATCAGATTATGTATTTAGTTTTAAAACATCAAAGGAATGTCAGATAATATAATGTATAATATTAGAATGAAAAGATAATCAAAACAAATATTTTATTTCAGATTTATCTATTTGAAGCATATAATATATAATGCTCCACAAGGTTTGTCAAATGGTTTTTATTTGTCAGTTTTATGTCATTACAGGGAATAAAAAGTGGTTTAATGCAGCATTTTATGATTTTTAAGTCATTCAGTACTCAAATAAAATTAACAAAAAACAACACGCTTTCACTTAAGATCTAAAAACAACACTTGTAGTTGAATAAAGTAACTTGGCTAAAAACACGCAGTTTGGCAGTTATTTGACCAAAGACTTCATTACTAATTGACTTCTTCGACATTGTGTTAGTCTGGTTTAAAATCACACTTATTTCTCTGTTTTTTTTTGCTTGGCTTTGGAATCCCAAGACGATGAGAGGGATCTGTGTAATGTGGCTACTGAATGCAAATGACTCAGGTCCACTGAACGTAACTCACACTGTTCCTTTGAGACATGGGTGTTTATGTGGGCGGTGGTGGCGAAGTCCATGGGGACTTTGCTTGGCAACTGGAAGGTCACCAGTTCAAGTCCAGGCAAGACCAAGTGCTACCGAGGTGTCCCTGAGCAAGGCACCGTTCCCTACACTGCTCCCCGGGCGCCGTTCATAATGGCAGCCCACTGCTCCTAACACTAGGATGGGTCAAATGCAGAGAAACCATTTCATTACATAGTACCTGTACTGTGTAATGACAATAAAAGTGCAAACATTTGTGAAATTAATTAATTACATTTGTGAAACTTTAGTTGTAAAACACATCTCTTTACTTGTTTTGAACTATATGTTTCTGTTTTAGACATTGGATCCAAATTCTCCCCTTAGCTTGTTTTTGAAGTGTGATTGATTACAAAACTTGAAGTAACTAAGTTATTACTAAAAAGAACAACTCATATTTGCTCCATTATTTATTGCAAATGACTGTGTTTTGACAGGCTTCTGTGCTTCTGTCTTTTATAACCACAATATCATATATTGGCCCATGTATCTCTATTTTGACATGTTTTTTTCTTTCTCCAAACATTGTCTCAAAGCACACCTTGGGGTGCCTTACAATATAAATATCTGTCAAGGATGTATCCATGCGTTGTAAAGGTTGAGCTGATTCAAATAAAGAAACAGTGCTTTCACAATGTGTTGTTTGTTTTACATTTCTCAAACAACTATCTCTGCATTTGTTGATCATTTCCCATTCATTTCAGTCAGCTAACCAAACCACCCAACACTCACTGCCCCTTAACAAAACTCTGACTTGTCAGGATAAGATCAAATATCAAACCCCAATGACCAACTCCAGTATTAATTATCATAGTCACTAAAATAGTGACTTTGCAGTCAATGTCTCTTGACTGTCATACTGCAAAATGTAATAGAATATTATTACAATACAGTATAAAAGATTTGAGCTTTATTCTGATTGGTTTTCTGGGCACATCTTTTAGTAGTGTTGTCTTTTACCTCATTACAGTTGCTGGAAAGAGAGTGAATTGTTATTTCTTGTGTTGATTAGAAATTAAGAGTCTTTTCTCATTGATGAACAGGCCTGATTCATTCATTTGTAGCCTACTCTGAAATATAAATAAAAATAAGAGCTTTGGGAACAATACCATTAGATCAGGGGTGTCAAACTCAAGGCCCGCGGGCCAAATGCGGCCCACGGCCTCATTTTATGTGGCCTGCATGAGCTTGCAAAGAATATAATATACAATACAATTGGTGTAATTGTTGAATATGTGCTTTCAATTATTTGCCCTAGACCTCTAATTTCAGACGTAGTTATTTATGAAGTTATTACCAGAACTGACAATAATCCAATGCAGAGCCAATAATGTAATATAATACATTATTTTATATTTATTATATATTTATATGTATATTTATATAGTCTTAAAGTTACAACCGGCCCTTTGAGTGCAACCATAATGCTAATGTGGCCCGCCATGAAATTGAGTTTGACACCCCTGCATTACGTAGATGAAGAGGACCCAAGCTAAAAGGTAAGGCAAGGCAAGTTTATTTATATAGCACCTTTTCAACACAAGGCAACTCAAAGGTCCACTTACCTGTGATTCTGAGAACTCTGCAGCATCTCATGGTATTCAGACAAATAAGACAGTTCAGGTGTATTTCAAGACATAAATGTGACTTTTCAATCACGTGAACACAAAGGTCAACCAACACGAACCAGTCAAGAGCAAGAGAAAGATTGAGAAGACCATCCTTACACAAAGAGAGGGGTCATATGACCAGCAGCTGACATGACACCTTTACCAGCTCCAGTTGCTGAATGGAGAGCATGAGATGCAGTTGAAATCTCTAAAATATTTACTACCTGACCTTTGAGTTTAGATTTTCTTTACAACTTGACCAGGGTTTTTACGCAGTTCACCAAGTCAACAGACTGTAAGATATTTCTATTTCAATATAACTCAATTTAATACCTTTTTTTAAATTACTACAAATATTTATATCTAAACATTTTTGCAAAAACAGGCCCTTGCCTATTCCGCATGCATCTTAGCCATATATGTATAGGATCTCCTAAGAGCAAATGGATTCAAAAACATTTAATCTATTTAATTGTTATTACAGCCTACAGCAGGCGAAAAAAGATGGAAGCCTTCACCATCTTCTAATGCATCCTATGAAGTATCATGTAAATACGTTTAGTTCTTTTCAAGAGCTGCATACAAAGTTTTAATCAGTTATAGAAATTATGATTTACAATGATGACACGATATTGAAGCATGGATTAATATAAGGATAATATCACTTTATTTGAAAGCAGTTAAACTTGTAACGAATCAATATGATTCCCCATTCAAATAAACAATCAAACAAAAATGAATGTGTTCACTCTGCATGTTCATGGGTGTGTGTTGACATTAAGAGCCACTGCTCATCCGGGTTTAGGTCATCTTTTACTTGCATCTCTAATACCCTGAAACTGGTAGAAGAATAGTCCTGAGGTGTCTTGCTAACAACACGCTTTCACTTAAGATCTAAAACAACACTTGTAGTTGAATAAAGTCACTTGGCTACAAACACGCAGTTTGGCAGTTATTTGACCAAAGACTCCATTAGGGTTAGAAAACCAGTCACTTACTTATTTACTAATTGACTTCTTAGACATTGTGTTGGTCTGGTTTAAAATCATACTGATTTCTCTTTTTTTTTTTTTGCTTGGCTTTGGAATCCCAAGACGATGGTAGAAGAATAGTCCTGAGGTGTCTTGCTAACTTCAACAGTTTGATGGAAGGCTTCTGCCTAACAGCAATCTTTCATCCAAAGTTCTCGATTATGTTGTTTTTACTAAAAAATGTTCTGGTAACGCTGTAAATCCCAGTCTGTCCAGGTGATAACGAGTCAAACATGTTGTAAGTAAGCTTTGCATCTTAACCATATCATTATTGGTATATGCACATCATATTTTAAATAACCTTTCCTTTCAAATAATATCAAAATGATGTATAGCACATGACACTTAGACCTCAATGCTTAATTACTTATATAATCCACACTCCTTTGAATTTTCAAAGAGACAGAAGTTGTCACCTTCCTGAGACCATAGGGAAGGCCTGTTACACAGTGTCATGCTTAATTCAGTGTCTCATTATCTCACTCCTTCAAACTGGTAGTGGCAGTGTTAAAGTTGCATTGAAATGTCCTTCAGAGATCCTCTATTATCCCTGCTTTCAGCCTCTTGTTCATGTCTTTGGCATGCTGCTTGCTGAGTTCCCGCTTATCCAGTCTCTGTTGAATGGTAAACAAACAAAGAAAACAATGAATGAACAAAGCTCAATAATCAGATTTCTTGATGTCGGTCATTCACAAGGTGCTTAAAAATAACTGACAGACCTCTTTCTTCAGGCACTGACGCATGGCACGGTCCACTTCGTTACACGTGCCAAAGAACTTTGCGACATTGTGCTTGAGGGTAGAAAAAAAACAAGATTTATATTGTTATGTTTTGTGTAAATGAAGCAAAAACATTGTTTAGGAGCATGACATACCTCTGTGTGGCACTGCCTCAGAAGAGTGATGAGTTGGTTACACTCTTCATTGTGCAGGTGAGATGAAAGGTCAGGGTGCATGCTGAGTTAAGGTCTTACTGTGTCACTGCGGCAATACTGAAATCCACAAAACAAGAGGAGCACTGATTGAGGAGCACTGATTGAGGAGCACTGAGTTGACAATTACGGTGGGATTTTACTGAAATCACTGTCATACACGTCATTTGGTGGAGGCACGTTTACCATTAAACACACTTTATGCTGTACTCTCATAGAATAGGAATATGCTTAACATTCTCAGGTTTGAACCAATGGTTATTTTCATTAATAACTTTATATCTGGTATTGAATTGTATTGATTGTGACTACTGTATAACATTTGTGAAATCAGAATTTGAGGAAATCTCCAAATTGTCTGATTTGCCTGGCGAACAAACCAAAAGCCAAACATAGTCAATTTCAAATATACAATGATATAAAAGCATCTGGAACTTTTGATTTAAAAATTGGATCAAACAATGAATCGATTTTAACAAGGACTTATTGTTTCTGTGCCACTTTCCACCATGTCATCTCAGCATTGTTATACTCAGGTAAAGGACATGTTTTTTCTAAAGGATACTAATGCCTCCCCATCCCTCTCCTTCCTGAGCTGTCATTGTGATGCTGTTTTTTCCAGTGGACACTTAGCTGCAGACACACACAGAGAGAAGGAGAATATAAAACAATGCAACTACCTGCATTCACCCTGAACCTATTGAATCATGATAACAATTCAGCCTTCACTAGAGATACACTAGGTGTTTTTAGTTTCTCTCACACATTATGCTACATCATGTCAACTGGTTTATTTTAAGCTATTTGATTACACAGTGCACTGCCGGCTGCATGTAAAGGTGATACACTTACCAGTGGGGAGAGTGTATCATCTGAGAAGTCCCAGAAAACGCTGGTGAATTATCACGTTAGCTCAGTGCTAGGCCTCTGCTAACGTTAACCGTATGTAACACAGCATCAACCCAATCAACCACTGAAGATATACGTATGGCTTTGGTCTTCCGTAGAATAGAAACGCAGATTACTACAATATAAGATAACTATACTAGTCTTGAAACTGTCTAACATGAATTTAACCTACAAAAACAGCAAGAACTTGAAGGACGTCTGTCTGGCAACACTTTTGGTTTTCGTAACTGTTGTTTGGTGATAGTAAATTGATAATGCTATACAGCGAATCAGCGTCAGTCTTTTTTCGCAACGCACCAATGGCATGCGTTCTTCTCATAAAAGGCGGGACATCTGCTGACGGAAGTTCAGAGACGAAACAAGATATATCCCTTCAACGTACTTCCGCTTTTACTTATGGATTCAACTACCAAAAAAAACTCTCTCTGTGGTTACATGTTTGCTAATAGTGCTGTTGTAAAAACTAAATACAGTGTTTCCTGTCTTATTTTATTTGTATTTAAAGGCCATGTATTGGTTTATGTAATAACAAAAATGTATGCTTTATTTGCATGTTTCCAACTAACAATATTGTTGTAAGTTTAACAAAAAATATGTTAAGAGAGATTTATTATTGATATGTATTATTGACAATATTGTTAGTGTACCCCTGCAATTATCAAATAAAAAGGGTACATTCCCAGGTACAAATTATTTTCTATTTGTGTTTGAAATATAGCAATTGACTACATTTTTGGAATTTATATTTACTTGTTAATTTCTATTCAGATTGCTAAAGAATCCTTTATTTCCATCTAAACTTCTTAAACTGAACATTTTTAAATTACCAAATATTTACAAGACAATCAAACATTTCAGAAAGTAAAACAAAATTAAAATAGATTTGTGTATCACAACTTTCTACTTTCTTCTTCCCCCTGCTATAAATGATCTCTCAATCCCTACGGCTTATTATTACCATTTTAAAGCAACCTGACTACAAGTTTAGGAACTGCTTTTTAAAATCAGAATAAACTCGTTTTCTAACCCCACCAAGACCAGGTACGTGTAAGTGTAAAATATGAAATCAATATGTAAACATTGGTCAGTATTAGCATTGTTATGTCATGGCTGGGGAAACGTGCAGAGCCAGTTGCTGTAAAACATGTAGCCTACTTAATACACTTTTGCTATTTTACGGCAGAATGATAGGTGAAATAAGTATTTAACTAGTAATCACTAATTTTTAGAATATTGTAGTGATGCTTGTTAAGTAAAGGGTCTAAATATGTCTTCCACCGTTTTGCAGATGTTCCTAATGTGAGCATAGAATGTGAGTCATATAATTAAATAATTACAGTGATAGGAGCAATACCACTCCGAAACAACAGAGGGCGCTAAAGGGGTCACGTGCACTGTTCTCGACATATCTGATTGGTCCATTCGTGTTCTCTTTGGTAGGCGGTTTGTTTGGATTTGTTCTCCTGTCACACTGCAAGCTGTAAGGATTCAACAGTTTAATTAACTCAAAAAACGATCCAATAAAACTGCTAATATTATAGCATTATTATCTGAGGAAGGATGGATGAATCTAAGAAACGCCTAGTGCAACGACTCATGAGAAAGATACCGACTAAAATGCTGAAAACAACGCTGGAGAAGTGGGGCCGTTTGACCGGGGAACAGCAGCGGGCCATGGATAGCGTTCATTCAAAATGGGCGTTAACGGAAAACCTACTCGCTATTTGCGAGGTAAGCAGACACTTCTCTGATATTATAGGTTCTTCTGTTTGATAAACAGTGTAAAACAGTACATTTTCTATGAAAATGCAAGCTGAAGTAGTAGTGATTTCGCTTTTTTCTGTACCTAGGAAAACGAGTTGGCAGTTAAACACCTCACAGAACTCGAGATGATTTGTAAGTAAAGTGAAACTATTTATCTCATTTGGGTAAAGGTAATGCCAAGTCCAATCCAATAACCCTTCTTGTGTCCCCTTTTGTCATTGTCTCTAGATATGATAGACAATCCAGACCACGGGATGTGGTATGCCTTCCAGCTTACTGACCCTGAAGGTAATTTAAAATACTTATTAGTACTATGGATGGCTGGAAGTTTACAGCTATATTCTAACCAAACACTACAGCTACTGGTGGGTTTACGAGTGAAATGTTGGTTACTTCAACCAGTCAGCTTACAGTGTTTCCCCTAGGATGGAGTCATAGCAGCGGTGCTAAGGCACGTGGGCCCAGCACAGGGGTGGATCTAGACAAATATTCATGGGGTGGCAAGAGGGTGGCAGGAGATTTTGAGGGGTGGCATCCCCTGGCAGAAGTATGCTGATTTAATCGCAGTCATATCAATCAATGTTAACTTGGAAAGCCACAATATTTATATTTTAACTCAATAACATAGGTGACATTATTGTGGCACATCAGTAAAGCCTTACATATAAATATATAAGGTGGCAGGCATAATTTAATGAATTTTAACTGAACAATAACTGAATGAGTTTGTTTCACTCTTAGACCAGCAGGGGTACCAAATCTATGAAGACTGCTGCAATAAGTACATTAATTAACTGTCTCATCGATGTTTGTCTGAATTAATATGATAATATTAACAATCATATTATTCCTATCAGCTGTCAATCACTGTTATGATTCACATATTCATTTATTATTGAATAAACTATAGTTGTTGGAGGAGTTAATGATGAATGTTCCTGCTCACCCTCCTTCAAATTTGAAAGACAAGTAATTACTATCATGTATCAAAATTCAAAAGATTCAAAGGAACAGTTCAGCGCCCCACCACTTTACTGCAAACAGTTACAACCTTGACTTTACATCAGAAAGAACAAACATTAAAGAAGTGACTAACTGCATCAGTTAGGGTTAAAAAACGTGTATTCAGCTAAAACATATACATCGCTGCAGTTATTATCCAGTGGAAAGTCCTTACCTACTGGCCTAGTTAAATCAAAGTGGTTACTTTTTTTTGGCTGGCAGTGTAGCTGTGACACACCGTCTTATTTGACTTTCTCAGGACTTAAAACAGTTTTTTGGGGGCAGACAAAGAAAAAGAAAAATATACACACATACAAGGTCAGCATCTTAACAGTTTGTTATGCTCATCGAGTCATCCGTGAGCAGAGCATCAAGTTTGGCATGCCTATTACAGCTGAATGCGGCGATTACCATCTTGTTCAGCAAAACGCCTCACAAACTGATTAAGATTCAAAGCTTTAGTGCGTTTTGATTCAATGCTGAGTACAGCCAAACTTGACAGTCTCTTCTCTGTCATTGTAGACCGCAAATACCTCATTCCTTCCGTCTACTTGGATCCGAATGCTTCTCGTTTTGAGCCGTGCCCCCGTTCAAATGAAATCGCCGCCAATTATATTTCCAAGCTCGCGCCCTAGGCGAGATTTTATATATAAAGAATAAATGAAAGATCTCTACAAAAGACAAATACACTACAAAAACAGAAACTTATTGACATAGGTAATATACGTCAAAATGGCTTCAAATGTATTCAGTATTGTATGAACATGTTTGAATTGGGGGGTGGACGTCACATCCCCTAGGGTGGTCCGGGGGTATCCCCCCCCCCCGGGAAGATTTTTTTGAACAAGTAAAATGCTTCAATCTGGTGCACTTTGAGCACACAATTACTAGAGACCTGATCTAGGGGGTACAACTCTAAAACACCCATATGAAAAAGATCGGTTTACATTTTAATAATCAAATAAGTATATTAACATAACCAATAACCTACCATAGCCAATAACAAATACATGTAACTTATTTTATTTTTGTTGTTTTCAACATTCATATCTTATTTTACCTAGTTAACATTTATTTATTTATGCATATTTTTGTATCTCTCCAACTTTAAACGATATTTTTGGTTTACTGTCCTATAGTATACATTGGAATGATTTCAAACCTGTTTTTATTTATCCTAATAATTATAAAGGAGTGCCTTGGAAATATGTGTTTACATAATTTGTGATCAAAACGTTTGAGACCCACTGAGATAACTTAGACTAAAATGAACTATCTAAACACTCAGAGAGTCCTTTACCTCACTGATCCTCTCAGTCTGACAGGAGAGCTCTCCTCCACCCTGGTTGTAGAAACATCTTCTTCTTATATCCGTTAGCGCAGCTAGCACCAGATTCGAATAACAACAGCGCCGGTACCGGTGCGCCCTCTCTCTCTCTCTCTCCCTCGCTCGCTCTCTCGCTCCCATGCTCGCACTTTGGCTGTGAGCTGCGGGCGCCTGATAAGCCAACATCCCCCACTTTCATCACTTACAGCACCCATCGTACAGGGAAAATGAAAAGTGTAACCGGGGTGAAAAAGGTGTTACATTTACTTAATGATGAATGTTGTTACATCAAGGCCGAAAATTAGGATGAGCGCCAACGGTCAAAAATGTTTTTTCCCCTCCCAGAGCTACCAGCGCAGCGCCCCCCAGATCTGGCGCCCTAGGCAACTGCCTATGCCAAAAATCGGCCCTGCCTAGTACATACAGTGGCAATGTCTCAAGATTTAGCAAAAATACACCTTTATTGAACATACAGTAAGACTTTTTTTTTTGGGTACCTGGCTGGCGCCCCATAGCAGCGGCGCCGCCACTATTTGTATATAGGGGAAACACTGGCTTATCTGTTGGAGTTTGGTTAGTTATAGTGTAGGGTTAATTGATGATATGGTCTTGTCACACATGTATTCTTTATCTGTTTGTTCCAGGGATTTAAAACATTATTGGGATACATTTTAATTTACTTTGCAAACCCGTATTGTCTATTTAATAATTTCCCTTTTCCACAGATGATGCTCAATCTGTAGATCTGACGCAGTTCAAGGAACAATTTAAATCTCACCTAAGAGAACTTGTGAGAGAAGTAAGTCCAATATTCCTCCTCACACGGCAAAATCATATAAACTATAACGTTTCAACATTGAAAGATATCACCGTTTAACATCCTATATTTAAAGTATGATTTAAACATTGCATTCAAGGTGTCCATCAAAATAAAAAAACACACGGATGAAGCCGTTTGGATTCGGATTGCATGGGGAGACGCCTCCAATCACCCCGACCATCTCAAACCAACATATGTTGTTCACTATCTTCAAACACCATATGTCTTTGTGACCCGTCTGACTTCAAAGCAAAAGCCCATGTTATCCCAGGTGAGGGTTCACTTTTATATAGTTGGTTACCAGGTTGTTGTTTCTTTTGTCTTTCCATTCCCGTTTAACAGATGTATGTTCTTTACAGGCCATGGTTCTGTCCACCAGGTATCTATATTTCAAGGATGCCAACCTCAGTGGCCGGAATCTCACTGCCATTAGGGACCTGCTGATGAGGAAATATCAACAGGTTAGGTGTTTTTCAACTACACACACACCACACAAAGCTCTGTATGCCCAGTCCAAATATTACTTATAAGCGTCCATGTGTTAAGAAGTGTCCTGACACAAACACTTCCAAAATGAATAGTTTATGACTTTAATGCATCTTTAATATCTTATTTACATTGTTGACCACCTAAAATTGCTCCGAAATGGCAATGTATCATTTTTGTAGTGGAAGTTTTTTTTTTAAATATTAATAACACAGAACTTAAATAATACTTACAATGTCATTTTAAATGTCATTTAGATATTTGCCATTAAAAAAGGGAAGTTTTATCAAAGGCTTTACAGTATACATCTATTGTCAATCATGTTGTTGAGCTAATTTCTCGTTCAAGTTTACCCATTGCACCCCTTTTTTTTGAGGGTTCACAATACTTCCAGTGATTTAGAAAATAAAGTTGAATTATGGATTTGCTGTAAACCTATTTATTTTACTGTCAGAATTGTCATGCAATTAAGAGTACCACTGTACAGGAAAAAACAAAATTGAAATGTTTTTTGTTCTAATTTTAAGGTCTTCCCCACCAAGTATCCCAGCCCTCTCACAGAAAGAAAACAAACAGTCACAAGTATGTTTATCAAATCATCATGACCAAAAGCCAGTTTTTCATATTATGTTACACTTACTTTAACATTGTTTGTTTAGCTATGTATATTTGGCATTAACATGTACTTCTGGTTGATTTTTGCAATGTGATTGGATATATTTGGCTTTCATTCTGTTTACAGACCCACACGTAGAAAGAGAACAAGCTAAGCCTGCAGCAAACAGACTTCAGATGGCCTGTGAGGCCTTTGGTGGTGGGACGTTACCTCAGCTACAGTCTGCAGTTTACAAGGTATCCCGAGGCATGCTTTGTGTATTAAAATACTTAGCTTCATCTTTAATAGCTAAGTATCAAAGTCTAGTAAACAAAAGGCATGAATTGCACAGAGTCAGCATCACTTGGTGCTGTGATCATCTAATTTATGCTCTGTAATCTTTACTCAGCTGGAGACAAAGTTCAAAGACCACACCAACACACTCATGACGGAGCGAGAGGAGCCCTTCAGATGTGTTGTCAAATTTTCCAGCACAAACCTCCTGGAGTCACTCAAAAACTGCGCATCTTCAGGTATTTGTCACAGCCATTTATGTTTTTAGAAAGGAAATTATACTAACATTGTAAAATAAAAAACTATTGAATGTTTCATAATTCTGCAATTTCCATAAATGACCACACGAGGGCACATAAACACACGTTGAATTATCCCCTCTGTAATGCTCTTGTGACATTATCTATCATGAATATTTTGGTCGGTGCATTCAAAGTGTTTTTCTTAAATCAATCAAAAATAATTTACGGTCATTTTGTTTTTTTTACAGGAATTGCATCCACCCCAGTCACACCTCTGCTTTCATCTATACCCCTAAAAGGAAAGAATTATTTTGTCATCACAGACAATGGACCTGGTCCTTCCTCACAAATGCGCCAAACACAGAACTGATGGGTGACAGGAACTTGATTTTAAAGGAGTCAAAGCATGGCGCCATGTCTGGTCAACCCAGGGTTTGCTCTTATTGTTCTATCATCAATCTCCTTGTTCAAGAGCCACTGCCCCTCCAAGATCTGTAGAAATGAATGTACCTTTATTACCCAGTTGCAAATATCTTAGTTAACAATCGATAATTGTCATTTTTATGTTTGTTAGTGCAAGAATGTTATTTCTATGAAACATATGTCCCAAATTGAATATAAAGCTGTTTTAAAAAAATAAAAATGTTTTGAAGTTTGTAACTTGTATCCTCTTCCTGTCATTTCAACTTCAAGTATTTTTCATCAGATATAGTGTTATAACATTGTTTTGTGGAGTAACAGCTTGTGAGAGTGAACTTTGGTATTCACGCTCCTCATAATTTGGCGTTTACAGTCGATATTACAGGGTTTATTTAAGCTCCATTGTCTCAGCACAACGTTTTTAAAGGATACGTTCAAACTTTTTTCAGGTTTGTCTTGAAACTGTACTTGCATTCCCATATGTGCATAGAACAGTTACTGGAGTCTCCTGTGCAAGCTGCCCACAAAGAGATTCTTCTCATCACAACTACACTGTGATCAAAATACCCAACGCTCATAAGATTTAGCCATGTCAATTGAGTATTTTCCAAAGTTTCGGGGTGTTTCTCAATCGTGAGTACGCTTGCTTGGTAGCACATGTCTGCCGAGCATCTTGCTTCAGAAGCGAGTCAAGAATACTTCCTGACATTCGGAAAACAAAGAGTGGAACAGGCTAGCAAGTGTGCAGGTGTGCGTCATATGAGAGGCCCCGCCTTACATCTTCCGCCACAGATTTGGGGAAATTGGTCCGTGCGCAAAGCATTGTGGGGACTTTAAGACCGCGAAGTCTACTCATGTGCACACGATATTTCTCCAAACGGAGTACGCCGGGCTCGGTAGATTTCCAAGTATACTGGAGATTGGAACAGTACTTCGGCGGCACTCTGACGTAGTATGCTTGAAATAGTGGCTCTGAAGCAGCTTTACTCGCGATTGAGAAACACCCACAGTCTATGTTGTCAATAGCCCCCCATGTTTAACCCACAATGACCCCTCCTTATGTTGTACGGTAGATCTGTGATACCTCCCTTTAACAATAAAATGAAAACAGGCTGTTATAACCATCAGTTCTCTTTGGTTCCTCTGTAGAGCTAGGCTATGGAATTGCTAAACTGGATTCTATTTTTTTAAATTTTGCTATCAGCTACAACCTACAAAAGTCGGTTTGATTTAAACAATTTCTAGAAAATGTCTGTGTGAGATCAAACTATATTATATCAACAGTTTTGGTTGAAAAAAGGAGTTACAGCTTCTAGAAGAAAAATGCAGTTTTAGTGCTTCAAACATAGCAGTGCATTAGTCATATCATAAACATATTAAAGGAGTCAGCCACATTAGAAAACTTTAGTTTGATGGTTTACTTGTTTCTTGTAAAACGGAAGCACGTCATTAAACCGGGTGTGACGTAAGATCAGCTGGTTCAGTCGTGCTAATAGTGGAGTGTTGCAGCCTTTCAGGCAAAGCTGAGGGAAGACATGCCAATGTTAATTCAATGATGCTGCTGGAGGTCTCAGCAGAAAACAAACGGACTGTCAACATAGAAACATGGCTGCTTCTGCGACGAGCAGGGCGAATAACAGAGGTAACGCCACTAAAGACAGTCCGAGATGCCATGAAGAGTCTTTGTCGCAGTCACGGGAAATAATTAAACCTACCATCACGGAGCTGACCAAAGAAGTGAGGACGAACATCCTCTGCACCGTGGAAGGATGTGGCAAGATTCTCCCCAACACACCTGCATTGAACATGCATCTTGTTAAGTCACACAGGATAAAGGTAAACCCTTAACTAAACCTGGTTAGTGCTTAACGTTAGCCTTTCGCTTAACGGCAATGCTAGCTTAGCTAACTCATTCTCGTGAAAACGCTGTCAACAAACAGGAAAACGCAAGTCATCCACAACAAGTTAATTTAAGCTGACGTGACGAACGATAGTGATGCTTGTTGAACACGAAGTCATGGTTAAACGTTTGGTAAATGTTGACTTATTCCAGTGAATCTCCATGACAGTTGCATTTAGGGAGCTAGCTTCATGGTAACTAGCTAACGTATGTCATCAATTAATGATTAGGGTCGCGTGTCATGGTTGGTGCTGAACTGACCGTATCAACATGTTTTATACAGCTAAGATTACATCCTAACACCTTCAACTAATGGACTGTTTGTAGTTTTGGGGAGGATATTATTGGTTTGGCTAACGATAGGCTGTAAAGGGAAATCTCTTTAGGGAGTTTCTTTACATTTCGAAATATGATCACAGGACAGTATACATTCTACTTCCAATACTTAACAGACATCCAAGTGGAGGAAGTCGATGCATTTTGACCAGAGTCTACTTTTGACCCTGGCCCTTTTGTCCTCACTGACCATGGCTTTTCGTGGAAGGCAGTCATTCACTGTTTCCCCTCCATGAATGAAGTTCTTTGATGGAAAAGGCTGCATTTTGTCCTGAATTAGACTAAGCCCTTTGTAGGTGAAAACGATCGTTTGAATTAGATCTCAGAAGTAGTTACTTTTGCCAAGCTGAAAAGGTGTGTTTAAATGCCTGATTTGTGGCCCTACTGAACATTTGAGGTACCATCTGGCTTTTTATTTACAATTCAAATGTAAGCCCTCTTTACTCCAATGCCTGAATATTACTGGTGTAGACAAACCTTTTAAGAACTACAGTTGACTTCTAAAATCCAAATGTACTTGCGCTTCATGTTCATTATTCTCTTTAAAAGGAGCCCCACTCTCTAAGACTAGGCCTTAAAGAAATGTAAAGAAATAAAACATGTTATTTTAACTCGACAGCTATGTACAACTTATGTCAACAGGGGCAGAGATGTACTGTTTGATGATGACAAAGTTAGCATATGTTGAAAAAGCTCACTACTGCCTAATTCTATTGAGTCAGACCGCAAGAATGATATGTGGGGCATCATATCTGGTTTTATTAAAGCCACTTTAACACCACTGTAGCTCTACCGCATCACAAGACAGAAGTAATAATATATGTATATTAGCTGATCATTACTCCTAGTTCTTACTGGCCATGAACACTAATACATTTCATACCAACTCATTCACTCAGCCCAGTTTGGATACCTTTCCTAAGTTTAATGCGCCCGCTTCGTGCTTGGCTATTGGCCTTTTCATCTCTATCACCTACTTTGGCAGCAAGGAGAAGCAGAATTACACTATTACTCTGACTTATTAAAATGTCTCCCAGAAATAAGAAAGGACCAAGGCTATAGCCACATAAATGGCTGTGTAGCCCCTTAGTATCAGAGCAGTGCATTTCAACCAGTTTTAGACCACATCCAGCTACTGACTAATGACTAATAATATCTTGACATGACTCAGGCTTAAGCCTATATGACCAGATGATGTAGATGAAGTCAACTAAACACAACATTCAATGAGAGCAAAACATCTGTTTATACTAACTCCTTATGACAAACAAAATGGTGTCAGCTTTAGCTGTTCTGTTCCCTTCAGTGTTAAAGCAGATCGAGGTCACCTTGACCGCTGGAAGGCGGCAGTGTTTGATCGCGTCATGGGTTTTGTCTGATTCCCCCATGCAACTTATAATCAGTGTTGGTGCTTTTCTCTGTAATGAGTAAGATTTGCTTGTCTTTTCTACAATGATGTACAATATGGTAACATCTGCCTTGGGACAGGAAACAGTTACATCCCATACTGCCAAGCTCATTAGTTTTCAGTTATGTAAAGCAGAGCCTAGATTTCTTCAAAAGGTTATGATAAAGCACATAGCATATTTAGCTACACTGAGGAAGGGAAGAAACACATTTGCAACTATCACTTATATTTGTGGCAGACATAATGATGCCTTTTTAAGATGGATTCAAATTGAGTACATAAAGACAACATTGTTGAATTTGAGGTATACAGTTGGTGTTGTGTGCCTTTCACATCGGTTAATGTAAGATATATTGTAGTTCAAGTAAAACCTAAGTTTATCCGCTAAAATCTTAAAGGTCTTTAACAGTAAACTTGTTAGATTGCCATCTTAAAACTTTGCTCAACCCTTAGAATAACACATAAGCATTGTAGTGCTATTTGATGGTTGCTTGTATTTATGGTAATCGCATAATTCATTGAGTTGTGCAACGCTCACTGTAAGCCATGATGATTAAGGGCATGATATAAACATGCAAACATTTTTTCTGACTTTCCTCTCTCTTTTGTCTTTCACCGACTTTGTCACCCTCAGGATGGTCTTGTCAATCCTACGGTCAGAAAAGACATGAAGGGCTCTCAGAAGCTCTACTGCTGTCCAATTGAGGGTTGTCCCAGGGGGCCGAACAGACCCTTCTCCCAGTTCTCCCTGGTGAAACAAGTAAGCCTTTTCTCCAAGGATCTGTTATCCTGTCCATGCAAGTAATATAGCAAAAATGATGAGGTTTCAGTTATGTGGTAACAGCTCCAAATGTTTCACTTGGTACCAGCGGTCATAACAAATAAACTAATATGAATAACTAAGTACATTAACTGAAGCACTTATGTTACTTACTACTTCTACTTTATATGATGTTTGAGAGAAATAGTGTAAACTCGACTACATTGGTCTGACAGCCTTAGTAACTTTGCAAATTCTAATTCTAATCATGTTATTACTTTATCTTATTAAGCTACCCTGCAGTACAACATTAAATAAGCTTTACAGCTTTCAACAATAAAGGGATAGTAATTGCATCTACAATTGTAATATAGAAATATATAATACTGAAATAGAGTATTCTGCTTAATGAGTACTCTTCCTTCTGGTAATTGAATTATATTTTGATGATACTTTTGTTCTCATACTTGAGTAACATTTTAAATGCAGGATTTAAACCAGTAACACATTCTACGCTTTTTTTCACACTGGTATAACTAATTAGCAAAATATCTGTATACTTTTTTTCACTGATCGGTACCAAAAATGTTACACATGTACATTTTACAGAATCAAATTAGTACAGCTAAAGTATATATATATATATATATATATATATATATATATATATATATATACCCAAATACTTTTCTACTGCCATGTGTTGATCAACAACAACAAGCTGTTAGCATTATTTATCAGCGTACCTCATATCCTCTTAGATATTTAACCAATCGCACATTGCTGAGACCAACTGTTACTTACTGTTAAAATCAAGTCACCTTCAAGATTAAACAAAAATATAAGATAAGAGGTACTTTATTGATCCCAAATTGGGACATTTTAGTTTAAAAAAAGCAAAACAATTGTATGCAATTAATTTCTTGCTCATGTATCTGTTTCATTGTAGCACTTCATGAAGATGCATGCAGAGAAGAAACACAAGTGTTTTAAATGCAACAATGGCTACAGCACTGAGTGGGACCTCAAGAGGCACATAGAAGACTGTGGGAAGACCTACCACTGTACCTGTGGCTGCCCCTATGCTAGCAGAGCTGCTCTCCTCTCCCACATCTACAGGACAGGACACGAGATCCCTACAGAACACAGGCATGTACCTGCATGGCTCAGACTGATTTATATTGAAGCCATTCAAATAGATATGGCTAAATATTAATTTGGCTCGCTTTCTCTCTTCTATTGTCCTGCTTTACAGAATTCCTCCAGTAAAAAAGCGAAAGATGGAGAAACTGTTAGGAGGCTCTGAAAAGGTAAAGATAAACGAGTCGACCTGTCGGATCATGTCAGTGAGTCAAGAGCTGACAGACACTGCTCTTTCTTCTCACACAACCATCCATATCCAGGACTCGGGGAATCAGAGTTCAAACCCCCGTAAGAGCCTCCAGAAGATGCTCCTCCCAAAGCCCAAGATGGCGCTGGTCAGTGTTCCTGTGATGCACCTGGCCCACCTGCCTGTCCTCCTTCCATCTGCAGAAGGGGGGACTCTGAGGTCTGTCATGCTGGCAGTGGACAGCCATGGCTCCGTCCGCACCCTTCACCTTCTGTCACATCCCCAAATTGATGCTAAGAGTCTGTGTTTCAAAAATAGCATGCCTACGTCCCGCTCCAGCCTTGGGCCTATCAGCACAGGGGTACAGGTCAGTCTGGACCCTGCAGATGACTCAGCTAGCCTGGCAGGACATAGAGTAGGAAGCACCTCCACCAACATTCAGACGGACAAATCATACTTGTCGAAAATGCCAACAGGAGTAGGGGTTGGTGAGGGCCTGGCATTGTGCTCTTTGGGTGAGTCCTCGGTGTCGTCCTGCTCCCAAACAGACATCAGCGTGAGTGCCCAAGTCCTCCTGCCAGTCAGCGTTGAAACACAGACATTCCCCCCCCGGGCCAGAGCCACATCTTCTATTGCGGCTCAGACAGACAGCCAGTGCACGAGTCAAATTCCCTGCTCCTCCTCATCTCTGCCCCCATACAAAACCAGGCAGACGCAGACATATGTTTTTGTGCCACAGCCAGAGGAGAAGGTGCAGGACCAGGCCATCATGTGCTCCGACCTATTCGACAGCGTCTCCACTCAGACCGCTCTGGAGATGGACGACACCCTCAATGCTGCGGGAGGTGGTATGTGTTTTGGGGTGCAGACTGATGAGCTCAACTCAAACAACATGGCAGATAACCAGACCCAAACAATGACCTTGTTAAATGACCTCGAAAATATTCTGTCCGACAGCATGTCAGGCCACCAGGTGCTCTCAGTGGCCTCTGCAGGCTGTGGAGCAGGTCTGGGATCTGTTCAGGAGCAACACACTGGCATAGACTTTGACTTTGAAGAGTTTCTTAATGCTGTGCACATCCAGACCCAGACAGAGGAGAGTGAGCTGGGAGGACTGGGTGGGGACACGCCTCTGGAGTCTCTGGACATCCAGACCCAGACTGACTTCCTCCTGATGGATGAACTGGACCAAAGTGAGGGACCAAGTCGGACCCAGGCCAGTGACCTGGAGCTATTTGATACTCAAACTCAGACTGACCTCCATTTCCTGTTGAACGCCGGAAGCCACATGCCCCTGAGCAGCATCTTACGACATTCAAGCTTTTCCATGAGCACTGAGTCTTCAGATACAGAAACACAGACTGATATCCCTTCATTTGCAACAGGTCTCTCTGCTCCGACTCCTCTGAGTCAGGGTGAGCAGGCCCGGCTGCTGAACAGCACAGAGACTCAGACTGTGACCAGCCAGTCAGACAGCCTGGGAAACCTCTTCCTAACTAGCAACGAAACACAAACCGTCATGGATGACTTCTTGTCAGCAGACCTGGCCTGGAATATGGAGTCTCATTTCAGCTCCGTGGAAACCCAGACATGCGAGGAGCTCTGTGCTCTCCTGCAGAACCCGGAGAAACCCAACAGCTGAAGCCCTCTTAGTGAAGCTGCTCCTGCAGTACAGGTCTCTCATGCCGTTCTGTTCCTGTGAGAGGAATCAGTCCCTGCTGTCCTCCAGCGGACCACAGTCCTAGCAGTTAGCCGTCTGCGAAAATGTCTTTGAACATTCCACTGTAGACATCTTGTCCAGAGCCTTTCCAGGTGTACATCCTCACAGCTCTCCTGCACTTTATTAGCTCAATGGGCATGATTTGATAGCTCCTGTGACCGTTTACATATTTATTTGCACATTAAGTAACATATTGTTTGTGTCTTCTCTTAAATGCCAGTTTACTTCTATGTTTCAGTGTATAACCAATCTGATTTTCACTCTGGTCTTACTTTTGCCATTTAAAAATGACAGATTTCATCAATGTTAGATCTGCACTAAAAAGGGATAACATCTTTAGCTGTGCGTGACTGTCAAGAAAACTGGCGTATACAAAGGTTATGACAGCATTCTGATGTGCATTTACTGCATGAAAACAATGTCATCTCAGCAAACAACATTTTGCATTGAGTTTACGTACATGTTTTGAAATGTGCATGAAGCCTTTACTTGGTCAGCACAGTCACATCATATATCTATTCTCAGCTTGCTCCCTTGTTGATAGTGGTTCATCAGTGGCAGCAAGACTATAACATCTGAATAACATCCTGTGAGCTTTACAGCCAGTGGAAAACTTGACTAGCTTTATGTTTTCCAAAACAAAACCCCATTAAACCTTTAACAGTGAACAAAGCATCGCTAAAAGCTGTTAAGAGGCATCTCTGAAACACACCATTACTCATGCAGATGTGGCACAAGTGAAAAGTAATTGTTTGTCTTATTGTTGCACACTTTTCATTGAAATGTGATTGTGAAGTTTGATGTTGTGTAAACACTTTTGTGTGTATGGGCCTCTATAGCTAAGCAGTCTGTTCAAATCAGTAAGCAGACTAAGCTGTCGGTGTCTTTGACTTATTCATTAGCTAGCTGTTAGAGTATACAGTAGCAGTGCTGTGTTACTGTACAGAAACACAAAGGGGATTAGAGCAAGGATTAGCTCAGAGCTATCGTATGTATCCACAACCTGATTTTGACTGAAAATAACCTTGTTGAATATATTCCATCATCAGATTTTCAACCCTTAACAATCAGAACAGTATTTTTAATTTATTGCTATTTGTTTATATTATTCTGAATGTTTTGATTTGATTGTATTGTTGCACTAAGTTACCTCTCTAAACACAGGCACCAGACTGTGTTGTACATGGGGAAACATGCTATAGGCCTTGATTATTTGTTCATTTAGTTATGTTGGTGCCTTAACCCAAGTACTAACTTTAGTTCTGTTACATACGATTTGCTGCTTCAAAGTCATTTATTATTAATGCTACTTGTTTTGGAAAAGTATCCAACTTGTCATAATCCTTTGATTCTGTTCCTTTGCATGATTAATCTATTCTATGTTGGTATTTTCATCCTGTTTGCATGAAATATCGGACTGTCCTCCATGGTTTCAATGGAAAGATTTATGGTTTGTCACTTGAAAAATAATGCTGTGCAGCATTTAATTTAACATCATTTGTTCAAGACCATTTGACTCCTTTTTGGAAGGGTTGTTAATACTTTGTTAGATTTCAACTGAAGAATGTACAGAACATACACTGCCCAAGATAAACATGCTCTATTTTTTGCACACACCAAACGGTTCAAGGATCATTTCCCTGTGTTAATAACGATTTTTACCCTATGCTACATTTCAATATTTCTTGTATTGAGTTAAATACTTCTCGTTCGTGGTTCCTGAATGCAAATACAGCATTACAGCTGCTCCCTGCTGGTTTAGTGGCACAGGGGAATGCCTTGCTTTAATACAGATCTCTGTAGAAGCCTTGTCAGTCTCAAGTGTCTGTTACAGTGCTTTATTTTTTCTCTGTAGGGAGTGCATGCAGATATTTTCCCAGCACAAAATATTTGTCTAAGCGGAATTGACGTTTATGTTGCCTATATGTGTAGTGCTAATGGTTGCCTTGATTAATTGTTGATGCTACACTACAGATGTTCTAAATAAACTGCTGGAAAGTGTACGTTGTGCTACTTGTGACTTTTTTTATAGGATAAAAGTGGAAGAAGAAAAAACATTGCACTCAACCAGGATCAGTACAAAGGTTTCTCACACACACATATCACTCGGCTTGCTTATCGAAACGTTCTCCTTGAAAAGAAAAGAAACATTTTACAAGTTTCCCTGTACTTAACTGAAATGTAATGTCTTTCATATTTTCTCCGTGATGCAGTTTCCTCTTGAGTCCTGGCTTGTGCTGGATATAGCAACTCCTTGCAAATGTTACTTTGGAGTAACCATTTTATTTTACATGCACATTCAGGTAAGACGAGAGTTTAGTCTAGTAAGTTAACACCGCAGGTCTTTTGATTATATAACAATGCCACAAGCGGATCGTGGATAATTTTGTATTTAACAGGGCAGCTATACAAAGAGGTAGTAAAAAAAAACAAAGTAACAGGATCATGCCAGTTGTAAATCATGTGGCAGTAATTGGCTGTCCTTTGGAGACCAACATGACATACAGTACAGTATGATCCCAGCATATAGTGCAGCACTGATAACCCTTGTATTACATTTACATAACCCAGATTCCAATTACCAGGAAGCCTAACACACTGGCTGATATAAAACTAAAATTGTCTACAATTACATTTGATAGAGCACATGCAGTTTGGCAACAGGTTATATCTTTAGCATTTATAGTCCAAGGCTACAGTTTCACAATTCGCTAGTTTTGACCAATGTGGCTGAGGTTTAAATAGTAGAAAGTGTGAAGCAGACGCACAGCCATGTTTCTTATGAGGTAGTTACACAGTTGCTAGGTAACTAGAACAGCTTAATGAGCACTTGTGGGATTTGTTCATGACAAAATAAAGGTCTAAAGCAATTAAAAAGCCTAACATGTAAATGCTAACTTGACTGTCATCGGTATTGATAGTATGTTGTACCACATTCTCTGCAATGAGTTGTATGTCTCATACCAAATGTTGATGTTAACATTGTATGTGGTGGTGAGGCTAAGACATGCATGATACACATTAGATAAAATCGGTTTTTACTTGGTTAATCCTGAGTTGCACATTACATACACACAGTCTTGCCGGTGTGCATATGGGCTTGTGCACCTGCAGTGCCAGGGTGGAGGGCCTGAGTGAGGCTCTTTCCCATTGAGTAGCTGGCGCCGTGCACTGTGTCAGGTTTGGAAGACACTGGTACTTGATACCTCCTGGAGACACTCACAGCAGAGAACAAGTGGGGGTTTTGCTGACATGTCCGGTACTTGGTGGCCATTGCTGCAGAGTTAGCAGGAAGCTCAGGCTTAGCAATACGGTCCACTCTTGATCCACTTTTCTTATCAAACATCGTTAAGTTTTCTTCCGGGATTTCTCCTTCTGGAGCCTTCCGTCCACTGCAGGGCTGGCCTTTTAGAGGATTCTGATGTTGTGATATAATTGGTGGTAAAAATGTGAAGTTTTTAATGGGAACCACCATGTTCTTTGGCCTATGTCTGTGTATTTGAGGCTTAGTGTGCCTGTTCTCTGAGTATCTGGAGGGTAGATGGTGATGCTGCAGGGTCTCTCTGAGCATCCCTTCCTTCTCTGTCTTCTCTTTGTGTAATAAATTAGACATGGGGTCCTGCATTGCACTGGGGACAGGCCAATCTGAGGCGTCTTTCTGCAGAGCTGCAGCAGCAGGGTTAATCCAGTATTCCGTCGGCTGGTTTAGTGACATGGCCTTCTTAAAGCTGTCATGCAGGCCCTCTTCAGACTCACAGTGTTGCTCTGCAATGCTGGCTGAGCTGTCTGCTTTAGGGATTGTTGGGTCAACATACAAGGGGGTCAGGGTCTCAGCCTCCTTAGGCTTCGGTTTCTTGTATATCTTCTGATTCAAAAGTATGCAGCTCAGTGGAGCAACTCTGGCCCAACCATGAACCTGTTGTCAAATGAAATATAATGTTAATATAAATACAACAGTTGTGATATGTTTAAACTGAAAACCGACAAGGATTGCTAAGTCAAATTTAAAAGTAAGGTAGTGGAAATTATGCTAATATTGTTACCTCATTCCTAAGTGTATTACATAATATCATGAACAAAAGATATACAGGATTTAAAATTAAGAGAGCACTGTAGCATTATCAGTTTCTCTGGTTTGACTAGTTATAGGTATGTGTTTGAGTCAAATTAATGTTTTTTATTTTATTCTATAAACTACTGACAACATTTCTCTGTGTTGAAAATCAACAGACACTGGAATGGAATGGCTACCATACATGTAGAGATTTCGATTTAAGAACAATTTGGAATAGTCTCTTAATTTTTTCCAGAGCTGTATATAAGGGATACATCAACATGTGTAAATATAATTATTTAGACATTTAAGTAAACGTTTATACAATAGTTGTTCTTATTTTAACATCATGTTGACTCCTGTGTTAGAAAACACTTACTCATGATCAACATACACTGTAATATAATTCACAAAATCAGATTAAGGCAGGCAGTAGAAAAAGGTTTGCAGTAATAAGATACGTACAGCTTCTTCCCAACCAGGGTAACAATGATACTCATGGGGCTCCAGTTCGTTCATGAAGACCTCCTCACTCAAATCTAGAAGGGCATCAGCATGTCTCCTTTCTGGTGTCTGCTCCCCCACTGCCTCCCCCTGTGTTGAAAGCTCCTTGTATGATCCATTCACAGATGAGGTATCCACTTCTTTTAAAGTCGACATTATGTAGTTAACTCATGTGCTTCATGGTGAAATCTAGACAGAGAGAAAAAAATATACCAGAATAACAGGAAAGAGCTGGCTCAGGCTACATTTAGATGTTACACTTATACTTATTTTGTTTTAAACTTCACTCACCAAAAGGAAGAAATCTGTAGTCCCATTAAACGCATTACACGGATTTGTATACGTATTCCCATAGCAGAAAGCAGCATTCACAGATAACTATCGTGGTGATCTGTCTTTCCGGTCCACAGAGTTTTCCCAAACACAAGTGCAGAGACTCTGAATGCCATTACAGACGAGCTGCAACGACGTCGTCATAGCAACCCGTAGAGGCAGCACGGGGGAGATGTGACGTAGAGAAAAGGGGAGGGCTCCTGCTCCCCATTCAGATCAATTATTACTTCCCTGGTAAGCCAAAAATATTCAGTTACACTCTTATGCAGTACAATATATATTATAGTAAAACATAAGAAAACTGAGACTTATGTTAGGAGGCTGTTCATGATAAATGTAATTAATTATTAATTATTATTATGAATGAGCCGAACCGTCCTCACACAGAACATGCCAACATTCAATAAAATGTGATAAAAGACAGTTATTTTTGCATTTTCTGTCAGCATTTGGGTCTCTCGTGTAGTCGTGTTACAATTTGAAAAGAAGGAAGTTACTGGCTTGTGAAGGAGGAAACCATATTGGTAAATTGCAACGTTCACTTCTGCACGTAGAGCAACAGACGTCACGCAGGCTCACGTCACGAGAGAGAACCCCACATGATGTGAGGGACGCTGCCGATGGGAAAGTATTCTCTTTTTTTGTGAAGCGATGGCATATATTCTTCACAACCTTAAAATACAAGATCTGCAATAGTTAGACTCGCTCTTTGTTGGTGCACGCATAGCCACGGCTTGGTTTATTGGTCCAGAGCTGCACAGTGTCGACCTCTGACGCAGCCGGAGCACCTATCCGCGAGGGGGACACTGACACCTGACGGCTCCATCTCTCCACGCCGGTCTTTTTCATCACGACCACTTCGGATCTGCAGTGCATATTCTGCTGTGTTTTATGGAAGCGGACTCTCTGCATCCTGTCGTGGTCATGCTGCCCCCAAAGAACTGCCTTCCCAGGAACTACAGCTGCATAGCCGGACTGTTCGGAAGCCTGGCAGCGGCAAACCCGAGGCTTGATGATGGGGAAGATTTTGACATGATCAACGATAACTGTGTACCTACCGATAGCCCCGTGGTGGAGGAGAGACCCCGGGGAAGAGAGATCTGCCTGAAGCCTCCACAGAGTCCAAATCTGCGTCGGAGATGCAAGTCTCTGCCCACACCCACAGAGAGGGCCAAGTTAGAGATCTCCCGCAGCAGGAGTCCAACCAGTCAGAAAAGGGTTCGGTTCGCCGACTCCCTGGGCTTGGAGCTCATTTCAGTCAAGCATTTCGATGATACAGATGAGCCAAATGTGCCTGAGCGCATTTTGGCCAAATTACCCAAAGGACACCTACACCTTACTCATTTGGACACACAGTTCCCACGTACTCCTGCGCAGCCTGTATTCATGGAGTTGCAATTCACCAACCCAGGCACACTACCCGAGTTTGAGCTGAGAGTGAGGGAGGTGAAAGTCTTGTTAGAGACAGTGGAGGCAGATGAATACAACCTTTCCGGGGTTGTGCGCGTGTTAAACATGGCGTTTGAAAAGAGCGTCTCTCTGCGGTATTCCCTTAACAACTGGATAACATTTATGGACAGCCTGGCTTCCTACGTACCAAACTCAACCAACGGTGACACCGATAAGTTCCGTTTCAAGATCGTCATGCCTACTTACCTTGACAACGGAGGCACGTTTCAGTTTGCAATTAAATACTGCGTCGGAGGGCAAGAGTTCTGGGACAATAATAATGGGAACAACTACAAAGTGAGGCGTCACCGACTCAAGATGTCCCCGCCGCGAGAATGGGAGAATGGATGGATTCATTTTATTTGAGCTTTGTCGTCTTAAGTGGCACACTGCGTGCGTAATTTGCGCGTAACTGATCCCTGGAAACCTTAAGTATGAAAAAAAAAACATGTCACATGCTGTGACACTCACAATTCTACCACAATAATTCAAATATTTGTCCCGCTGCGTTAACAGATCGAGTGGCGAATATACAGCATAAGCCTTTGATAGGTGCCTGGTTAGGGATGCTCTTTGATAATTTGCCTTGATGTCAGGGCTCTCTGTACAGCTTGGTGCCCTTTGGGAGGGCATGTTCACGTTATGTAATATAGAAACACGTGCCACGGAAAAACGTGCCAGGCAATGCCGACTATAGGCATCACAGTCCCTGTTAGGTGAAGCTGTTAAATGGTCGGGGGCACGGAGCTGTTTGAATTAGTTTGCTTTGCATGCGTGCGTGCGTGCATTCATATTGGCTTGATGGGAAGCAGAAAGCATGGCATCTTGGCTAATATGGATGCCAAGATAACCTAGTGCATATTCATCCAGCATTCTCCTGCAGGCTGGGAGAAACACCCACATTGTCTTATTTGACAGACAGAAAGAAGTGGCAGGTTGTGTTATTAAAACATTCAATGTATGATTTCCCACTGTCATGCCATGGAAAAATGCCTTATTTTAAGCCATGATTTGGGAAGTTGTGCATTGAATATTGTACAGTATTCTCTTCATCAGGCTTGAAAGCATTAGATTACATTTTAAATAAGGCCCTTTAGGTACTGGGAATCAGTCAGTGTCCATAGGCTTTCAATCCAGGGACACCATACTTAGTCATAAACCAGCAGCATCTATCCCACACCCATTTTACATTTTTGCTGAATAATTGTTTTTGCTAAATTCGAAAATCAAGAAACCCTTACCAAAGTTCAAGACTATGAAAACGTTTTCTTTAATGATTAAACCATTAAGCATATTCCATCAAATCATAAACGCTGTGTTTATAAAGGGTGAATTTCAGTTATCCCATGCTGTACTGTGATCAGAATTAACAACTTGAGTGTGGTTTTTGTACCACCAAAGAAAATACATTTAGTAGCAATGGTTGCAAAGTAAAATTTACCTCATTACTAGCAAACCTTTTCTCTTCTATTTCAGGTAGACCGTTTTAAAACAGATGTTATTTTCACAGGAATTATTTTACAATGGATACATTGAATCAGAAAAGAATTATTGCAAATGTGCTGAATCAAAACACAATGTGTAATCATTTTTAATGTTCTTTATTCATGTGTAACTCTGTTTTCTTAGAGCACTGTTGTTTATAGACAAAGTAGCTATTTCACGGATGACTGTATTTACAGGGCTTTAAAGGTACACGATAATATCCTCATTCGCCACTGTGCAAGAATAGAGCTGCTCCTTAAACATTTTGAACCTCCTGAGCCTGATATATCCATCCTTAGTTGGCAAACTGTAATCAAATTACTTCATTTCCAAACCATATGCACAGATTGATGTTAAACAACTAGTCTGATATCTCCATACAACAGCAGTCATACGTTTTTTTTTATCGGGTAATCTTCCAAATTTTCTTCCGACCATTTCTGATAATGTACTCTGTGGCAAACAGGCTATAATATGTCATAGTCATATACTTTGATTTGAAAATGTCAATATTCATCATGCTGATTTTGAGGTGTATGATATTATTTATGTTTTTAGTGTAGAAACTTGATTTCAGTTCAGCAAGAGAAACAACAGACGGGATGCTTTTAATTCCAGTGCTCTGACTTTAATCTGAACAACACTTCTGTGTCCTGTGTTTACATCATCTTGGCATCAGAGGGAAGCTTTCCTTCAATGAGGCCATCATGTTGGGATGGGGATAAAGACTCTTCCTGTAACCACTTCGTTTTTGGAGCAGTTCCACTGTGTTTCCATCAGTATTGTTTGTCTATAAATCCAACACGGTTTCTGAAGCTATACCTGTTGTTAGAATCGTTTTGCCAAAGTGAGAGGTGGCCAGCACTGAGTTCATATTTGCTTTCTCTACTTTTATCACATCTAGACCTGCTTTTTTTATTTTTTATTTTTTTATTTCAATACACTGCCACGGCAGAGCTTACTGTGTGCTATGTTTTTAAATCAGTCGGTATTTGCATATTGTCTGCTTTGGCCTGTGTAAACTTTGTTCAAGCCTTGATGCTGTGCAACACCAGAAAGCATTAACTATCCAGTCTGACGTGGGTACTGAGATGCATCAATACCAATTAATCACTGCCAAAACAGATTGTGTTTTTTAGGTTTTAACATTGGGTTTTAACAAGTCCTAACAATATTTGCTCGGTCAATTAGTTTGAGATTACTTGACATAAATGACTGTCGGAATATGATCCTTTCTCCATTTTTCCTCCCATGTGACTCTCTGGTTAAAGTTTCCAAAAGTTTGGAAACTGTAAGATAGCAGTGTCCAGTTTTAGGCTGGTTACAACAACACTGCTGTTGTTATTGGTGCATCCCTACCATAAAGAAAACGAAGGGCTTCTGGTCTAATTAGATTTTCACCTCAACGTAACATTTTGCATCCGATCTCACTGATATTTAAATATGTATGTAAATGTGTTAATGTTTCATATTGAATGTCTTCCTGTTACTATTCTATGTTGTGTGTATTTTGAAGCATTATGAAAGCAGTATTGAGGGAAGCGAGAGGTAAAAGTCTGTGAAGTTGGAAAATAATATACTGTATGTGCCCAACCAAATTCCCAAAGCACACTTACTATTAGATTTAATTATCAAACCTTTATTAAATATAAGTTAAAATAAGGCTGCTTGTAATATTGGTTATACCAATCGCTGCAATAATTTGTCTCAAAAGAACGTTGTGATATATCAGAAAGGTATTGCAGAATTTCCCTAAAATAGGTACCAAAATGTGAGCAGTGTATCTGAATGAAATGAGAACTTCGGAAACCCATGTGCACAAATATGGGTGTGCAATGCCTTATTAAAAAGTTTACTAAGAGACATGAAGCAAGATGGAAGAATGCAAGTGCTTGTTTGTCGAGAAATAATGTGATTTCTAATGGGTGGAAACATGTGCACTGTAGACATGACAAAGGGACAAATATGTGCAAGAAAGGGAAAGCAAGATGCACTTTGATAGTAGATAAGTTTTGGCATGAATGACGTATGATTGTAGCTGACACTGTGCAGACTTTGTCGAAGCAGGTCCAATGCACAAGTGGGAACAAGGAAAGGATTACGTCACTGTACATTGTAAATGACATATTCTCCTGTGCATAGCTACTAACCAAGATGTTTTTCCATTCTTCTGCTCTTTTCTCTCACTGTGAAAAGCCTCAATCACGTCTGTTTTATGTATAGCCATTGTATGACATAGAATTTATTTCAGTGAGTTTTCTAAATTTTGTGTATTCTATGCAACCGCTTCTGTTTGTAACACCTCAGTCATCGGACTGTGTTAATCTATATTGTGAGCTGTCTTTTATTTTGTCTCTTGCAGTGAACTTTATTATTAACCATGTTTGCATGAACAACTGTGACATACATTTATTTACATTTAATGCTTAGTTTTCTAATGTAACCTATATTTTGTTAAAACAATGGTTAATAAAGACATTTGTGATGGAAACAATTACTCTGCCCGTACTTGAAACTATCAAAAATGTTATCTCAATACCTAGCCTTTATAATCCTTATAGCTCCTAATTGTATTGCTTAATGGTAATCAATCAATAAATCACATCTCTTAGAATCTAGAGAAACTCCACAGTATTTATTATAATAATTTAAATAAGATAATAGAGTGCATGTGTTCTAATGTGCAGGGCTGTTCCTGTGTGTGTTCCCGAGGTGTCTGACTTAGATCAGCTGAGCGTCTCAGCTGCTGCTGGCGCCCATTCATAAAGCAGCACACTGCAGAGGGCTGCAGCCATCGCCATTGTTGTCATGGCTGCGGACATGTCCTTGAATTGATCACAGTCCGACATCACGCCCCCTTTCTGTTGTTGGAATGGGAGGGGTTGGAGCAAGAGAGCTGAGAAAATGTGCAATACACAGCATGTAAAAGATGGGAAAAAAGCTTGAAATAACACCATTTATTTGACCTTTTTGTTGTTGTTGTATCCCTACCATATAAATATAAGTATGCTCTCATGGCTCAAAGAGTAAGTGCATATATTTAACTTCAGACAGACTTAATGCAGCTGTGTGTTTAGCTTTACTTTAATCAGCTATTAGTAGTCTTTTAATCATATTAGATCTGAACATTTAAAAATATCCCTGCACTTCAACATCTTAGATCAGGGGTGTCAAACTCAATTTCATCGTGGGCCACATTCGCATAAAGGTTGCACTCAAAGGGCCGGTTGTAACTATATAAATATATAATATATATATAAAATAATGTATTATATTACATTATTGCGTCTGAATTGGATTATTATCGGATAGGATAATAACTTAGTAATTAACTACGTCTGAAAGCAGAAGTCCAGGGCAAATAATTGCAAGTCTCTTCAGTGCGCATGTCACAAAACGAGATGCATGTAACCATATAATAAACGTATTATATTCTTTGCAAGCTCTTGCGGGCCACATAAAATGAAGTCGCGGGCCGGATTTGGCCCCCGGGCCTTGAGTTTGAGAGCCCTGCCTTAGATGCTCATACCAACCGATGCATTGACTATATCCTCTAAGATTCATAGCTTATTTGTGTTTTCTTTTATTTCAATTTATTTCTGTGTTAGTGGTCCAAATAATATAAATATTATTAATAGAGCAAAATACAATAATTTTGCAATCTCTTTACTAAAGCTCTAAAGCTCTCTCTAAATAGCGAAGGCCATTCTCATATAATAAATAGTTAGCCAACTGGCAGGCAATTAGATAAAGCCACAGCCTCTAAAGCACATCGACAAAGCCTCCAATTATTTCATTAACTGAATTAAATGGCTGATAACGGCACAGTGATTTAATGCGACCTTGACTGATGGAAAGTGAAGCGAAGTGTTGTATGTGGAACACAACAAACATGCATTTACAGCCTATCCACTTATTGGAACACAATGGATATGTGCTGTATTTGAAGCTTATCCGTGCATGTGTAGTAAGTGTATGTTGTTTAGGTGTTGTATTTGGGAGTTTATGTGTTAGGAAACACAATCCTGCCTAATCTTCATGTTAACCTAAAGCAGTGATGAGTGATGTGTTGACCCCCAGTCAGAGGAAGTTCAGTTCAACGTTGTTTACCTATAGTCGTGTTGAAGGCATCCTGACTGTTTGTTGCTGCTCTGTATTCCAGCTCAGTGCTTTCAGTAACCAGTCAGTGTGAATCCATGAGGCCAGTCAATAAAAACCTGCTGTGAGATCCCAATTTAATTCTAAGATTAGAGCTACTCAGCAGTTAGCTTGAAGCAGAACATGAAATAAATCCGCAGAATACAGATAAAGAGAGATTAAAATACCCGCTCTCAGTGAGTGGTGAAGCAGGGAATTAAGATATTCACGGTTGGCTTTTCCTGCAACGTGGTTAATTTATCTTCTGTGGATTTATTTCACTTATACTTAGAAACATTTAACTTTCATTTGATCTCATTTCTATATATTTGACTTTTTGGTCGAGTGTGAATCCAGTCAGTCAATATACAAAGGCAAGTGTTTTGTGTGCTTGCCTGAGTAAAAACAAGCCGTGGTATAGGAAACATTGTCATGCTGTGTAACAACAGCTGCTTATGTAACGGCTGTGTTCGTGTGATGATGACGTTTTGATTGTTCTCTCCCTCAGGCGTCTGGCTTTATTAAACTGCAACCGCAGAGCCATTTTCTCCACACCTGCGTAGCTTCTCATGCTAAGTGTGTCCTACAGCTCTGATAACGTGGTCAAGTCGTCGTAAGTTCGTAACACAAATAGGTCTCATGATTTCTAGTTTGAAAACTGAATGTGGGGCATTTAGAGAAATGCTGTGACATGACATTAATCCTGACTCAGCAGATGCCATGTAGAACAGTCATAACCTCATTTTAGTGAGCACTGGATCTGAATAATTAATCAGCTAAAAGGTCTTGACAACTTTGGAAAAGTAATGTTGTTGTTTTGAATTGTCTACTTAGACAGCCCACCAAAATGTCTTCCTTTTTCATTTCACTGCAGCTTCTTCTTTTACATTCATCATCTTTGTTCCCCTCAGGGTGAAGCAACCATTATGTCGCTTTCCCCAAAACCTGTTAAAACTGAACTTTCAAAGGACAGAGTTCCCTTTATACACGCACCTTCACTCTTTCACAAAAAGGTGGAAATCACATAGGCAGGAGTCAGACTGAATCTTTGTCAAACAGCCTGCTCTCACCTTTCCTTTCTTTCCCTCTGTACAGCACAATTCTTATCTCCTTCTCCCACCGACTCCTTACGCATTTCATCTTCAAAATAATTTTTTTAAATTTTCTGTGTTTATTGCCATATATAATATTTATATTTGTGTTGAGGTATACTTCATCCTATACATGATTATGGTGCTGCTACTGTACCTAACAGTGATGCATTTTCTTGATTTGTGCTGGAATTATCTGATTTCTTTTATGAAAGCCAAAGGGAGCTCAAATATTCACACACGAAAGTGTCTCATGAAATATCCAAAGACTGCAGAGCGTGTTGTTGTTTTTAGAGTTTTTTAACGATTCACTGAGAGATAGAGGATCATGAAATTTTGATGAAGGTGGAAACCCAAGTTGCATCAGGAAGTGCAGCGAACTGAAGAAGATGCAGGTTTAGCTTTTGTCCCATTTATGTGAAACCTATAGGTCAACAGAAAGCTAGGGAGAAACATAAGCACACATACAGATAACCAAACCATCCTATTACATTGGGCGTATCTTTATCAGCGGGGTCTTTCCGGACATGGAGCTCTCAGTGGAAGTATGCCAACACACCATATTTAGACATGGTAAAGAAAACAGGTTAGGGAGGAAATGCTTTCCCAACAAAACAATGGCCATGTGCCAAGGCTGCATTCCAAAGTTAGTCAGATAAACCTAATGTGATTGATAACTTCCTCCAAAGTCACAAAGAAGATGTCCTTTTTTAATGTTTCTGCAATGCTTGAAAGAGGCACAGAAGGCTGCAATAGCACTAATGCTATCCAACTAGCTATTCCCAATTCAATATGCATGAAATGGTATACGCCTGATATTGCAAAACTGAATTGTAGTTGAAAGAATCTTGAGAAGCAGTTATCTTGTCCTGTGTGTGATGTGAATACAAAGAGCTGTAGAGGCGGTTCTGTCCACCTTTAATAACTATGTCCTGCTCATCTCGTGACCTCAGGTCTACCAAGCCTCCTGTAATAAAACCCCAAAGTTCTGTTTCATATGAATACAGCGGGAGATATTGCTCTGAATAAAACAAAAGGATTAGATAAGCACTTCCTTTCTTATTTTGAAATTGTAATCTCTTTCTTTTCCTCCATTCTCTTCATTGTTTTCATTCCCATGCTCTCTTCTCAACGCTCTCCAATGAATGAAATGGTTCTTATTCCATTCTGTTCATTGCATACTTCTCCTTTCCCCTCTCAACTCACTCTGTCCTCACTTGACCTCTATGCTCTCACTGTCCTTCTGGATGTATCTGATATTCAAAGCAATGAGCATTCAGACAGCAGAAAAGTGCATTTCTTGCAGTGGCACCAGTGAAGAACACTGGGCCAGAGGCACACTCGTAAATAATCCACACATCCAGATTGTATCCACACTCTCATGAGCTTTGCATCATGTCAGTCTGACCTAAGATGGATAAACAGAAGACATCTCATTGACAAGCGGGTGGAAAGACCATCTTAGTCGGCTATGGGGACTTAAATAAAAAGCTCACACACCAGTGCATTCAATCCCATGCTGAAGGACCATGTGACCAGCCGAGATAATCAGTTGAACATCAAGCATCATCAGTTCCCAGCTGACAGGTCTGTTACTGCCGCTCTAAAAATGGCCTGTCTGTCACGCCAAAATAGGTAATGAATTGGGGACATTTGAAGAACTTTCTCCTCAGACAAAACTGTTGGGACGCAACGCAAAATATGGTAAATGTTTTATAGCTATAGTGCTAAAGAGAGTAAATATAGCTTCCTATAAGTTGACTATATATATATATATATATATACTACATAAACTACATGGTCTATTTTTGGAAATACAAAAGCATTACTTTATTTTTATTGTTGAACTTCTTATAAACTGTAATAGCAGTGTCCTGGTAAGGCCTTCCACATTAATCTGGCTGCAGGAATGTGTTCCCGTCTAGGCACACATGCATGATGTTGGGAACTGAGGTTGAGCGATAAGGCCTGGCTCGTAGTCTGTCATGTTCATTTCAAAGGTGTTGGATAGGGTTGAGGTCAGGACTGAGGTGTAGAATACTATTCCCTATATAGTATTAAGATTTCCCTCAGTTGGATCTTAGGGGCATAACCATGAGAAACAGCCACAGACCAAAACTATGCAGACAGGGGTGGAAGGTTGTGGTTGAATGTTGAATGTAAGAGAGAGGAGCGGTAGTATTGGACTTACTTGATTGGATAATAGGAAGGATTTGCTTCTTGGATTTTAAGAATCAGAACAAATATGAAAGGACAGGATCCAACCTGT